ACACACATATATATAAATATATAGTAATTTGATCAAGTCAAAAAGAAAACCTGAGCTCAAGTTCAACCCAGTGAGTGGAATTCACTATCACAGTTATGATAACAGATGGTGACTCGTGTCCGGGATTGACAAAATCAAATTTACATTCTTCAATATCAACCCATTACCCACAAGTTTATTAAAGACTCTCAAGTCTGAAACCGAGTTCTTTCGTTTGTGTTAAGTCGTGACTCGAACAATCTCCGTTAGCATTGCGTTCGATAACCGTCGTACTCCCCAAGTTCCGCCCACTATGATTGTCGGGTTAACCAGTTCTTGATTGTGGGACCAAGTCTTCATCGAGTTCTTTTTTCCATCTATATTATAAGTAGTCTCGGACACTGTTGACAAACACACTGACTCGGGACTCCAATTCCTGACTAGGCCGAGTGGGTCACTGAGTACTAACATTTCTTTCACCTCCACCAACATCACGTGCTTGAAATTTCTACGAACTCGACCTAGCAGCATAGGATAACAAGCCCATCTTCTCAAACTCAGTGGCACATGGTCTAGAAACCCAGCCAGTGAGTTCTCCGGGTTGAGCTCGTTAAACTCAAAACCCGGCCACCACCGAGCCATAACTCAACTGAGCCAACTCCGTCTCACTTTCTTCGTTGAAATTGGTTCGATTTCTTCAACCCCATGGATATCTTACTCCAAACCCTTTCCTAGTATCAATCTGGTATTTTTACAATTCCAACACAAAGCTCTCAATCTGATGCTTGAACCTCTCTTCCCCAGTTCAATAGTCGACCCCGTAGTTTAGGCTTTGACTATATATATATATATATATATATATATATATATAATGTGTAAATTTACAATAATTTGAGGGATATTTTAGTCTTTTAATATAATTATTTATGTTAAATAGTTGTTTTAACAAAATCAAAGGGTATTTAAGTCATTTTATATCATGTCATAATTGTTCAACTATCATTTGGGATGTGAGCGAAAAACGGAACAAAAGTTTGTAATACGAGGGATAGTTATTTTCGAAGGATATTTGAGAGTGATATTTGGCCAAACCTAAGGGTGATATTTGGCCAAACCTGAGGGGGTGTTTGTGAAATTAACCTTTTATTATTATTTTTTTTTCCAACAAACCACAAACTCAAAAAGAAACCCCACTAGAAACAAACCTAGTAAAATAAGGCAAACACTGTCCCAAAATTTTTCAGGTGGTGGAAACTAACCAAGGAAGGAGAAAATAGTCGGTGTGGTAGAAGAAAGAGGTTGCCAGCATAAGAGGTGTCGCCAACAGCGATTGGAACTGAAACGATGGTGAGTCAGTCACCTCTTCTGAAGGTTGACCATCATCGGTGACGGAGGAGCTCGTGGGTACATGTAGCGTGAGTGAGATCCGTGGGCAGTGATGCGTGAGTCACATCTACTTCGCAGGAGTGTCAGCATGTGACGGTGCAAACAATCTAGGATCGTTGCTCTGATACCATGTTAATTTTATGATGCAGAAATATAAGATGTAAAATATGAAGATGAAAGAGAAAAAGATAAATAACACAGTATATACATGGTTCGGCACTAAAGCCTATATCCATGATCAAGAGCCACTGAGGCTACATTTCTGTTATTGATTATATTACTTAATATGTTTACATAGTATTGATACACAATATATAGTAAATAAAGTTAACAAAAGCAATAAATCAGGATGAAAGAAGGGAAACAAAAGGAATAAATCGAGTAAATCAATCAGGAAAGAAAGAAAAACGAATATAATATATATGTATATATTATACATATATATAAGGAAAGAAGAGAGAAGGAGACAGAATATAATACATATATATGAATACCGACACCATCTACCTGAGGGAAAAAATAATAATACTAATAATAAATAAAAAAATAAAAAACAAAAAAACAAAAAATAAAAAAACACCATACAGATGAAGTCTGTCTTGGTGGTTTACTTGGTTGTCCATTGCCAAAACTTCCTAGTAATTTCCCTATACTTTTGCATAGCCGAGTTAACGGGCTTGAGCTTGGGCCTATTAAAAGTTCAGAAAGTCTAGGGGCACTGGTCCAAGCTCACCCATGCACAGCCCATGACCTACTAAGTTGGATCCATTTTGGTGCATGTTTCTCTGGTCATAAAATTGTAAATGTTACTGTTTATTGTCACTGAGTTGAACTAGTTAGGTGTAATAAAACCCAACCCACCACTGTAAAGACGGGATCCAATTCATATATGTCATTCACTTTTTCAATCAAATTCGATATAAGACAAACTCCCCTTATTATATAAGGAGTTTATACTCTATATTGATGAATAATTTTTCTTTTTCTTTTTTCCCGGGTATACCCCCATTTTAATCATTGTTTTTTTGAAAAAATTAACCCAAAAGTTAATCAAGTGTTCTAAGTCATTTAATGGAGTGTGTGTGTATATATATTAGTGCACAAAGCTTTTACCACCGGGACGGAGGAATATTTCTTTTTCCATTTCGAACCTGCGAACCTAATGATATATTAGAGAGTGAAATTATAAATCCTTGTAATGAATGCGACACTAAATTTGGGACGGAGTAGTATATACTCCTTTCGTCCCAAATTAGATGTCGCCTTTGATCACAAATATCAAAGACAAATATCAAAGGCAGATCAAAGGGGACATTTAATTCAGAATGGAAGTATTATAAAGTATGTACAGTACATGTGAGCTTGGCATGGAACAAAAGGACCAAACAAGCCTAGATTGTTGGCTGTTGAAGATTGTATAATTATGGCATTTCGATCACCCACGAAACCGTGCAGGTTATAGGTACAAGAAGGTAATGTCATTTAGTGTACCCTTTTTGCGGGAGAAATAGACTCATCAAATTCCTTTATGTACCAGACACAACTTACTAGGTATCACCCTACACGTATATACACACACTCACGTATATACACACAGTACCATTTAGCAATTCAGGATATATATGCTTAACCTCTAAAGGGTAATTGAGTTGGTACAAGGTCTTTAGATACTAGTCTAAACTCCCGAGGATGTTAGACTCCCGAGGAAGTTGAGTTTTTGCTCTGAACTTACACGTTGGAATGATTGAGAATGTTCGAAGGGAATAGACTCATCATTCCAAATGAGGTGGGAACGATACGTACTCTACATTATTAACCAAAAAAATAAAAAATCACATGTGTTTATGGACAATCAGTCTAATGTTTCAGATTCGAAAGGGATGGAGCATGTGAGCCTCCTCACAGGTCATTGTAAATGGTATCAATCCAAGCTTTGTTGCAGAATTCTTTTTGTTGTGTGCTCTACATTCAACCATCTCAGCACCAGTACATATATTGAAAATCAAAATTAATAAAAGCTTTTGAAATTATATATATACATACATATTCGTCACAATATATACATGGCTTTCATAAACAATCATTAGTCATTTCAAGCCTTCAGTTAATATTGAAAGATACTCCTAATGCTCTCCACAGCATATATATATACACACACACACATAAACAATCATTAGTCATTTCAAGCCTTCAATTAATATTGAAAGATACTCCTAATGCTCTCCACAGCATAGATACTCCTAATGCTCTCCACAGCATATATATATATATATATATATATATAACAACGAAATGGATTTTTTCATAAGAATTAGGACCACACGTGTTATTTTAAATTTTTTTATTATTATTTTATTTATTTGGAGTAATGCTCTACTCATGCTGACCTAATTACAAATCGATCAACCAGAAAAAGAGGAATGCTAATTGTTCATTCACATTCGGAGTTAAGATTGGTTAGTTTTAAATGCATTAATTAGTTTGAGTTTTTATTTTCATGCGACTCTACTAACATTACTTTTTAGACAAAAATACCCTTTTAAATTATCTAATCTTTATTCTCCTCTTTTTCTCTCCTCTTTTAATTGAGAATGTGTGGTTAGTTAAGTGAATGGATTCTGAAAAAGGAAAAAAAATATAGGTAGAATAATTCATTCACAAGAGATTGATGGATTCGGAAAAAAAATAAAAGAAAGAAGAAAAAAAAATCTATTATATATTTCTTCCTTTTTTTGTTTTTTCCTGTATATATATATATATGTGTTTCTTTTTGTTTTTATTTTTTATTTTTACAACTATCTTTGTATAAATGAATTTTTTTAAATAAAAAAAAAAGAAATAAAAGAAAATGAAATAATTCATTCACCAAAAGAGAAATATATACGTATTAATTTTGTATATATATATTTTTAAATCTCATAATCCATTTCTTGTGAATGGATAATCCTATCTAACTTTTTTTTCCTTTTTCAGCATCCATTCACATCACATTAGTTATTATTATTATTATTATTGTTATTATATATATATATACACACACATCCCCATATAAATCGATTAAAAAATGAGATAAGAAGAAAGACATAATTTAAAAGGGTATTTTTGTCTAAAAAGTAATGTTAGTAGAGTCCTATAAAAATAGAAAGTCAAAGTAATTAATGTATTCAAAACTAATCAATCCTAACTGCGACTGTGAATGGACAATTGCTTGTGCGACTGCGATTAGCACTCCTCATAAACATATTGACATAGTTTTCTTCGATCTTGTACATTTTTTTTATTAATTATTTGTGTTTCACATTGTTTAATTGTTCACTTTTTAAAAAATAAAAGTAAACGAAATTCCTTCATCTTACCAGACACAACATAAACACATGGTTTTGTAATTTTTCTTCACTTTTTGGGATAAATATTTCTTACTTACAAGTTAACTAATTCTGTAATCAACACATTCCATCTATTGTAATTCCATACTTAATCTAACCTAACACATCTGTCCAATGGAAGGACAAAACAGAAAAAGGGATCAGTGATTAAATTATTTGTAATTTTTTATATAAGTATTTGCGCGCGCGCGCACAACACACAGAGATTCCTTGTTTTGATCTTTATTGCTCAAAAAAAGTTGTTCATGCTTATGTGAAAATAAACTAAACTAATGCTAATTAACTAGCAACAAGAAACCTTCAATACTAATCTTACACTCTACTTTAAAAAGTACTAATAGAAGAAGAAGAATGAGCTAATAAAAATTACAAAGATGCATAACTAGAGTTTAATATAACCAGTAACAAGAACTAGACATGATCATCAATTAGCTAGGCACCCAAGCTGTAGCAAACACCACATTATGTCCTTTCCATGTAAGCACGAGATCTTCCTCTTCCCTCTTCAATCCCCATCCAGCTGCATGCTCATCAAGCATGCTCTTCACTTCCGAAACCGCGTCTTCACCAAATGTAATCCCTCGAAAGCCCACATCTCTCATCCGTTGTGCCCACCGGTTCTTGGGCTCGAGCCTCTCAACCCTCTGTGCACCCTCATATGCCATCACATTCTCAATCTTCCAACAAATATCAGCTTCATACCACTGCCTTTGCTTACTCCCCCGCGGAAGAAACGTGTCCACAGTATCATAGGGTATCCATAGATAATTGAAAGCAGATCTTAATCTACAAACCAAGTTGTTTGATGTGAAATCCGCATCTTCGTCTACTAGAACAACAATGGTTGGCTCTAGACCTCGGAGCGCCTTGAGAAACATTGTTCTAAGGGAGGAGGTAGAGAATGTTTCGAAAGAGAATGGATTTGGATTTGTGTTGGAAACCAATGATAGGGTTTCTTCTGGAATGTAGTGAAGCATCATGTGACAATTGATGACTAGAGCTTCATCGCCGTTGTTTGCATTGACTAAACGCTGCGTCCTCAGCTGTTGGATTAGAGAAGAGAACCCGTTTGAGGAACTCGACGGAATTACCCTAAATTCCATCATTATGTTCCGAGATCTGGCAAAGTTAACTAACTTCGTACCCAATTCTTCGTAGGAAAGATCGAGCATTGGCGGGACATCTTCCGTGGCACCTGCCACGGTGAGCTTGACTAGTGGAAGCACCTCGAAGCGACTAGCTATGGCATCAAGTAGGGTAGGGATTTGCATGCAATGTGTGGAGCTCAAATCAACTATGTGAATGATGGAGTACTTCTCAACAGCTTCTAGTATCAATGCATTTGCTGCAGTGAATCCAAACCGGTGCCACGGAGTTAGGTCAACGAAGCTAGCTAGCTCGATGATGGAGAACTTGTGGGTACTTATGGAGAGATTGGAGTGAGCATTGGCCATGGCGGTCATAAGCACCTTGCAAGTCCCATTCCTCGCCGCGCGAGCAATGAGAGCTCGGAGAAACCCACAGGTGAGACGTTGGTTTGAGTCACCATCCGGTGGCGCGATGTTGTTGAGCACCCACAAGATTTGCTGGGCTAGAGTGGCATCATTGCTCTCGATCGCGTTCGCGCAGTGAACCAGCAACTGCTCCATGCAATTGGCATCACCAAGGCTGCTTCCTAGGGACTTGGATGTGGGAAAACCAGGCCATGGCCTAGTTTGATTCATTGTTAGGCTTGAGAATGGAGCAATTTGGTGCAAGGGTGGTGGTGGGTTCTCAGTGAATTGCATCATGAAGTTAGAGAGAGAAAGAGAGGGAGGGAGATAGAGAGAGAAAATGGAATTTTAGATATTAGGGAACAGCATAAGAGAGGAATGTGAAAAATGGGATTTCAAAAGATCAGAGAGACAGAAAGGGAGAAAAAGACCAGACTAGGAGTGGGTACCTGGCCATTGGGAATTCCAATACACAGTTGGTGGGGAAAATTTCCCTGCAAATGAATGGAAGGAAAATAGACTTCTCAGCTTTTTTGTGTTTGGGGATTTATATACTGTTCTTCAATGGAAAAGAAAAAACGACTTATCATGGAAGTGAAAAAATATTACTCTCTTCCCAAGAAATTAAACTTAGGTGAAGTCAAAATTGGGCAAAGTTCAACAGACCCCTCTTAGCAACTTTCAGGCTTTACAGAATTGGTATGATTTGAAGGCTGCAATGAGGCTATAGAAGCAACTGCTGAGGAATTTTTTTCATGGAAAGCCTGGCTGCTTTGCTTCTCAGGTTAGAGAGAGAAAGGGGTAGAGAGAGAAAGAGAGGGAGGGGGGAGGGGGTGGCCTTGTGTTGGATTTTTGGTGCATGCGAGGTGGACGGCCAGACAGTTGTCTATATGTGGGAGTTGGGATTTTGTCATGTTATGGTAGAGATTAGAGGCAGTTAGGTTTGGCTCATTCACGGGCCATGATATGTACCATCATACATATAATCATTTCATGTAGTCTATTCTGTGCATGCTAAGTGTATTATTATTTAAAACTTCCTTATTGTGTGTGTGTGTGTGTGTGTGTATATGTGTATAAGGTGGCATCAAATTTTGGACATACATTTTGATGACTCACAAAGGTTTGATACTTTGTTTGGGATTCCTCTACTTGTTTGTGTGTGATGTGTGTGTGTGTGTGTGTGTGAGAGAGAGAGAGAGAGAGAGTTTTTGGATGTGTCACGTGTGTGGTTTGTGCGAGGGTCCCCCCAAAAGGGCTCATGGCAGCCAAAATGTTCACATACGTTGTTAAGACAAAGGAGGGGGGCACTTTCAAAGCCAATGAGGATTGAAGTTTTCTGGAATATCTTCTTTCATGATTAGATACTAAAATAAAGTTTTTTCCAGTTTAATTTAAGATTTTTTTTTCCCGAAAATTTAAGTAAATTTATGCACATCAACAATATTATCTCTGATAGGCTCATGAACAATCAGGAAAAAACCATCTAATCAAAAAGTTGAATAAAATTGACATGTTTGGTTACATGACTTTTGTTGATTGGTAAGAACCTTATAGTTCTAAACCACCAAATTAATAATTTTTTGAACTCGAACACTCAACCCCTCTTCTGAAGATAATAACGCACACCGTTTAGACTATTGCTGCTCATTGCTACTTTAATTTTGAGATTTAGAGAAGACTTGGGAATGAATTATGAACAAAGAGATATGATAAAAAATTCCTGTCCAAATAAGAAAGGAATTGTATGGGTATCATTGAACTAATTATTCTGATATATCCCTTCCAACTTTATACCTCAGACACACACAATGGCCTCTAGGCAAATACAATTTGGAGCCAAAACTTAAATTCTCAGAGACACATAGATATTACCAAATACATATGTATATATATATATACATACATAATCTTATCAAGGACCATATTTTATAATCCACTAGCTAGGAGGAATATGAACCTGGCATGAAACTTATATGAGAGGAATTTAGATGGACAATATCTTGTGAAGATCACACAGTGTGCAACAGGTTCGGACCATATGTATATATTTTACATTCCTTTTTTGGACCTTCATGCACCCCCACACGTGATACAACCTCCTCTGTTCCCATGTAGGACTACTTCTCTCCTCACCTAAAATAGACCATTCAAGTATGCCACCACAGAAGAAAATGACACCCACTTTTTTTCTTTTTGAGAAGGAAAAAGAAAAACATTTTACCAAATTTTTTTCAAGGTTTTGAAGTCATCACATATTTTGGATTTAGGTCCATCTATGTGTTTTATGCAAACATTGAATGTGCATAACTTTATTTGTGAATACACTCTTCAAGCTAGGTTTCAAATTTGTGTGGACTAGATTTGTATAAAACCCTTTTGGGGTGTTCTAGGATATTTCAAAGGGTTGATGAGTCTTGTAATGTTTTCAAGAGATGGAAGGTTGGGTGTTCTATAAATTGATTTTGAATCTTCACTAAAACAAAGTCTAAATATTCTCAAATTGGACAGGACAAAACAGTTCCTCAGTTTCCATATTAGGAGAGAAATTAATGAAACTTAGTACCCCAACTACACAACTAGTTTAGGCCTTCCTACCTCCTCCTCAAAACTAATAAAGGTGGAAAAAATGAAATTAAAGATGTTCAATGTCATTTCAAATAGCTAGCTCTTGTGCTCATGGTGAGATGGGATAAGTGACTAGATGACAACATATGATTTGCAAGATGAGAAAAATAAATAAAAAAGACTTAGAACACTTATGGTGTATGTAGGGGGTCGTTTTCGGTACATAGTAAAATATATAAAAGTGGTGATATCTGTTAATACAATTGTTAGAGATTCAGAGAATGAACTGGAGGAAGGAGGAGAAACTGACTAATCAACGAGAATATTTGTGAAGGTAAGGATGTGTACTACTGTTGTGACAGAGATCTTCTCTTCTCCTACCTTTAATATATGCTTGTCCTGAGGGTGGAATTTATAGCCCTTGGATGTCTTGGATATTACCCAGCAATATGTGTCATGTGTTACACTTACCTGGATAGGTATGATGGCATGCACTAGGGCTCTAAGAGGTCACCTTCTCTCATCGAGCCGTGGGATATGTTGGGCATTCTTATCCCTTGCATTAAATACATTATGTCATTTTATAACCGATGGTAGCCAAATTAATCATGACCTCGTCAGAGTATTAAATGTGATGCTAAGACTCTCTGTCACAGCGTACATCCACGTTCTCACCAACTAGGCTTCTTTGCAGAGCATCTTCTGATTTCTCATCCACCAATCCAAGATCCTTCTAAGTATTCCAAGGGAGAGAACTTTAAGCTTTTGAGAAAGCTCTGCCTCCATCTTGAGCTGCTTAAGTTAAAATCTACTTGGCCCTTTGAGGCGGCCTAGTTTATCTTGGCGAGCTTCTAAGGCTAGATGACCCAAGGGTGGGTCGTTCGCGGTTTAAGCAATCCGGTGAGATGCCAGGTTCTAAGGACTCGGGGTCATTTCATGTTTTATATGACCTAACGCGATGCCAAAGTTTGCTGACTCAATGGCGAAGCCTTACGAGGTTTAGGTTACCGGTGAGATGCCTGGTTCTAAGGAACCGGGGTCATTTCATGTTTTATATGACCTAGCGCGATGCCAAAATTTGCTGACTCGGTGGCAAAGCCTTTCGAGTTTTAGGTGTACGACCTAGTGAGATGCTAGTTGGGTATAACTCGATGGCGAAGCCTTTTGAGGTTTAAGTGGTCTGGTGAGGTGCCAGGGTTGATGATTTGATGGCAAAGCCTTTCGAGGTTTAAATGGCCTGGGAAGGTGCCATGGTTTAAATGGCGAAGCTTTAAGGTTTAGGTGACTTGGTACATGCCATGTTCAGTGACTCGATGGCATTGACTTTTCAACTTGTCCTGTGAGCCTCTTAGTCCCTTATCTCTTGACTTTTTCAAACTGCCACATGGGTTAGACATAAACAACTCCTACAGTGTAATGCAATTTTAGGTCCATTAAGGTAATAATGTCCAATATCAATATGGTAGCTCAAAGAGATGTTGAAAAAAAAGACATGCGGGATTGAAAAATGACCCTTGATTTGTAATTTCAAAAAGAATATGAAATACTTAAGTTGAAATAATTAAGTTCAATTTCAAGGAGGGTAAAATATGTTCAATTTTTGTCTAAATGTCTCAATGTAATGCTCAATTTAAGGAATGAATGTGATTTTCAAAATGAATAGTCATGCACAATAATTTGACTAAATTACTTATAAGTTATAACTTTTAAATGTAATAGGTCGAAGTATTAGCCAAGCAAATAGACCTATATATCATTACTTTTTAAATAGATATGTTGATGAAAAAAAATGTTAAAACAGTCCCCATTTTGCATCTTTCACAACAATTTATAAACTTAACAAACTAAATCTTTTACTATCCTATGCCTTGGAAATGTTTTCAAATACATTCATATTACATGGTAAACATGGATTTATATGGCTCTAGGACCTTCAACAAAGGGAAGATTTTTCACCATGGTACATTCAAAACGCTCACTTTTCAAGCATGAAAAGCTGCCAAAAATAAAATAAAAAATAAAAAATAATAATAATCATAATAAAGCATGAAAAGGGCACACAAAAAGCTGAATCACTTTTTATCGACCCTTTTTTGTACTTTTGTCTATATCATTACATTAAAAATAGAGTGAGCTAGCTAGTTACCAGTTTTTGAAAACAGCAAGCAACAAAGGTAAGAAAATGAGAAGAATCCAAAGGAAAGCATATAAGGAGTATGAAGTAGGTTAAAGCAGTGGGGTTTTAATATTTCACACTTCGTGAGAAATTTGAGGAGGATTCCTAGACTAGAGATACAAGAACTACAGGACACACTACCTAGCTGGTTTAAAACCATAGGGCATATTCAATTATATTTTTTATTTATTTTTTTACCTTTTAATTTTTTGGAATTTCTCATAAGGGAATTCTCTAGCATCCATGGTCCTTGGTTTTCCTTCATTAAAACACCATATAAAACAAGGGCTCTAACCATGAAAGTAAGGAATGTTACCACGTGCTTATGATACCCATATTGAGAAGGAAATTATTTCATATTATATATATATATATATATGATAAACACATGATTTATATATAATTAGAATTATGTTATTAAAAAAAGGGGTAGTTACCCAAAACATATGGAAGCCAAAGGTATAGAGACAGCTCGAATTTTGTGCTCTGAAAACAGTTCATCTCATTTTTGTGTGACCTTTGACTTGAATGTTACTATGATTTTATTAGGTATTAGGCTAAAATTAGCAACCCACCCAATCATGATTTTATGGGGTATTAGGGTAAAATTAGCAACCCGCCCAATCACATTAGAGAATGATGCATTTTTTCTTTGTGTGGACGGTTTAGATAAATGAATTCATATTACATGATTAACATGCTATAAGCACATATGTATATATGTTTTAATTTATTTATATTGAAGATACGTGTAACGTATTTATATTTAAGTAGTTGTTAAATGAAAGTCACGAAAAGTAATTAGTTTTTATTTTTTTTTTATCTTGGTGATAAATTCACACCTCCATTGTAACTATTTTGTTTTATAAGGACTCGAATTCTCGACATTATCAGACTTTTTACTTTAAAATATAAAAAAGTGCTAGTAGACAATCTTGGATTAAAAAATTTTAATTGTATATAGGGATTTGTTCAAAGACAAGACAAGAAAAACAAGGTTTTTAAGTACCATTCAGTCTGGGTTCACCATATTTTTAATTTATTCACTTCTATCAGTTCCCTTCTTGGAATCTGGGGATT